GATTATTAAGTAGCTAAACTATGGATATTCATGTTCTTCTTGTTATAATCTTTATTTTGACTCATAAACTATTATTATACGATTTACCGTTCTTGAATTATGCTCAGTTTATTAATTACAGTTTCGCACATTCACAGTCACTTTTCGCTAGATCTTGTACAAATGTTATTTTCTATTTTGTGATGCGATGTGGTCTGTTTGGTTTGCATATAAACCCAATATGTTTGAAATAAATGAATGATATGGCGGAGTCTGAGATTTGTGTTCTGGACTTAACAGGCAGGGCTGGGCGGGATTTAGAACCGATAAGGACTCTAGACTTCTCTTACTGGTTTTATGCGTCTTTGGTCCGATCTATAAATCACTGTTCTCCAAATGGCGATACCATTACGTCATATATTAATAGGGCAACTACTAAAACATAACCGATAAATCAGCGAGAAATAATCATGTTTTGTTCATCTACTATACATTGAAATTCATGCCGAGGAAGTAATGTGTATCAAAAAAATGGCATGTGGATATTATAATATGGACAAATACGTGTAGCATCAATTTACTTTACTTTATGAAGGCTTTGTGCAATATTTTTTTCCAGAATATTCACTCATTATTTATTAAAACAATAAAATACAAAAGTGTAATCCATATGACTACGTATGATATTGAATAGTCCATGATTTGTAATCTACTGTGAAATAATACAACTTGTAAAATCACAAAAAAAGCTGGTTGTATATTCATCACTCAATGATTAATCAGTGTAAATACCTCAGGCCGAAAAGACGTTAGTTACTGAGCGATCAGCTCAATAGTCATGTTCTTTATTGTGATATTAGATTATTCTGATTCAAATCTCACAGAGAGCATCATATAACTTGAGGTTACAGTTATACATCGACGAATTTAATTAGCTAGCACAAAATTTAGATCCAAGAGTATCTGTTGACCGATTCTATTCTTTCAAGCTGTAAGAGCGTTAAAACACTAGTACATTGAGCTATTGATAACAATCTGATCACTTCAAAGATGACTTTATTTCTTACTGAACTAACGAATATTATAAGTTCACTATGATTTTTTATAGTTATGGATTTTCGTTGAGGTAACCGAAATAAGGATAAACTGGAATTATATCCCTATTCAAAGTAAATTTTCGACTACAAATGAAATGTATTGTAAAAGTACTTCTTAAAGTTTACGCTAAGTAATTTCGAAAATTATATATCAATATAATATTACTGGTAGAGATATCGAAGTTCATGGAGCAGAGAACATCTACATAGTTTCGATGGATAACTGATAAGAGCTTCTTTTCTGTGGTTGTGTATCTGAAACCTTAAGGCTCTCATTGGACAACAAGTCTTTAAATTGGTATGGTAGAATTTTGCAATGAGCTACGTCAAGACTAATTTCTTCCGATTCATGAAGAAACTTTTACAGGGCTATTCGGGCCTACTACTTTTCATTTCAAATTTGAAGTTTGAAATAACAAAAGTAGATTATCGAAATTCACTATTTATCACTTGATAATCCTTTTCAATGATAAAGCTAACTACTAATACGTGTGGTTTAATAAAAATTGTTTACAAAACATTATAATGACCAATAAATTAATAACAAACTCAGTAAAAAGTTCCCTATCTTCTTTTTGGAAACTTTAACCTTTAACGATGGTCATTTCCAAAGTTGATATTAGATAAAACTTATTCTATATTTCAAAGTAACTGTTGTTGGAAATACGGACCACTGGATTCCGACACAGACGTTCGGCTAAATTGTGGTCCCTGAGAGTCATAATCATCTTGCGACTGCACCAGTATGAATTGACAAGTGGTCACTTTTGATTAGACCAGTAATAAAACGTGTTGGCTATTCGGTATTTATTTCCTAAAGTAAACCATAATATTAAGTAAGTTTTTACAAAATTTAAATCAGATAAATTTATTGTATCTCATTACATCCGTTTTAAATTAATGTAAACAAACAAATAAATTGAATAGTTAAATTCATGAGTTTATTGAAGTTAGACCACCATCGAAGACCTAGAAGCACTCCTAGGCCATTTCCTCTTATTATGAGACTCCCTAGCAATGAGCATCCATGACCCCGCCTCGCAAGATTCGAATCAAGAACCTATCGGTACTGAACCACTAAGCCGGCATCTAACAGTGTTAATATTTAACTTCAACCGACCCTAAATAACAATGGGAAGATACAAGTAAAACAACACCAAGTAAACAGAAACAAATTATGTTACAAAATTAGGAAATTTCATTCGTACAAAATTTTCTAAAATCTTCTTCAAAAACTATCTCATGGTAACAAAAAAATTATCTTTGACAACATTTCTCACTTTCAATCAAATAGTACAATAGGTACATTGTCAATATTTTTAGTCATAAACTTCTAATTAAAATCTTCAAATGTGTTTATTTTACTCATGTTGTCAACTGAAACGTAATAATTATAGTGCAAAATATATAATATTGATTCATACGTGTTAATCGATGTATTTCAAGGAATGAAGTAAAGTTATACCCTATCCTTGTTCTGAACGACATCCTATTGATATATCCTGTTTATAAATTCTAAAAAAAAGGAAAACAAGAAAGAACTTTTTAAGCCCATTGATATGAATTTGTCTGATTCAGAGTAGTATAGTCAGTATTTAATTAATGCGTCTGATAATGACTGATATGTGTTATAAGTTGATTTAAATTTGGTCATATTAATCACTGAATTTTGAATCAGTAGGTTGAAGGCATTTTATTAAGATTTGATCTTCTGTAATATGAGGTTCTGATGATCCCCAAAGTGGAATCCAATAACTGATCAGTAATTTCTTATTTTCAACTATCCTTCAGTCAACGTTATTATAAAACTAAATTTGTTAGATTATTAGCGTTTTCTCACTAGTTTTAAACGTGATAAACCAACAATAATGATGATAATAACGATTATTATTATCGCCACTATTATTGTTAATGCTGTTTTCACCATTATTATTATTATTATTATTATTATTATTATTATTATTATTATTATTGATATTATCAAATAGACAATTGTGATAATTCGTATTTTACAGGTTAGAACTTTCTCGCGCACGAGACCGTAGGTCATGGGTTCAAATCCCGCATGTGGGATCGTGAGTGCGCACTGTTGAGGAGTCTCATACCAGTATGAAACGGCCTTACAGTGCTTCCAGGTTCTTCATGGTGGTCTAGCTGCAATTGACTTATGATTTCAATTATTAAATATTATACAGTTTAATTTGTCTATTTCACTCAAATGAAATATTCTTCGTAATGAATAATAGACAACCACTTTTTTAAAGTATTCACTGAAGATAAACTGACTTATTTATGTAGTTCCTTGTAATCAATTATGGAAGAACACAATTATACAGATCTTAAATAGAACTTGGTTGAAAAGTGGAGTTAAACTTCTATTTAGCATGAGATTAGTGTTATCCTCTATGCGAGAGAATGATAATTTCACAATATTAAGATTTATCTAAGGTCAGGAATATGACTAATCGAAAGTCAATTAAGTGATTTAAATTTCAGGCACATGTTGTGAGATCTGACTAGCTTGGGTTCTAGTCCTGGTTGAACAATGAGGATACCTTACTAAAGAGTCATTTACTAGAAAAACATAATTATTCAGTGCTTTCTGACTTTCAATGATTGTCTAACTAAAATCAGTTCACATAATGTAAACTATAGAAATCTAGATATACCTTCTATGTAAAGATCTATGTAGATAAGAATAAATAAACAAAGAGGAATGTCTTAAAATCCTTTTTTCAAATGGTTACTTCAAGTATTCTTCCATTGGCATTATTCACTATGCAATAATACTAATAAGTGAATATGATTACAATAGGATAATCATTTAGTTAAGTTGAATGGGATTGGATTAATTCATTACTGTTATGTCTATCAATCTATATCTGTCAGTCTCTCATTTTACCTGAATTTTTACCAATTTGATTGATTCTTTTCTAAACTGAAATGATATAGGCTAGCTAGTTGGTTACTTATAATTATGGCCACGCAATTTAAGTAAAAAAATTTTGTCCAATACCAGTAATAATGAGCACAGATAGGTGATAATAATACTACACATTTAATCAAAAGTATACAGGCAAATTAAGTTCAATTCACTTTTAAGCTGATAGGTTACTCTGTTTTAAGAAAAAATAAAAAAAAGTTTTTGTTTTTCTTTTCACCATTCATAACAAACAAACAACTATCATATACATTATTATTATATTCAAAGGGGGGTTTTTGTTTTCTTTACAAACTTGAGAGATCAATATTTATCAACACCTACGCAATATTATCCAGCAAAAAAAAGAAAAAAAATATATAGAATCAACGACTATCTAATTTCTATAATATTCAATTCTACAGTGAAGGTTTCAGACGATGCACGTCTCCATACAATAATGCAAAGTTTCAATCAGAAACAATATAAGGCAATTTGTGAAATACAATAATCATCATCAATAATTATTTAAGGCAGCAAGTCTACTTTCGAATATTTCAAAAAGGCCTTATTTTTTGTTTTTGTGTTTTCTATATTTGTATTCAACATATTAGTGGAATCATTTTTATTATTTCTTTTCTTCAATTGATAACCATATAACAGATTTATACAAATGATCAGTACAAGATCAATGAGAATATTGGACAAATATACATAGATCATTTTCTACTTATATATATTCAAGTTGCTATATTAATCAAATTTTGTATGAAAGAATTTATTATATAATATGAAAGTTGATATCCACTATATGTTATTTGTTATAATATACAAAGTTTAAATTGATCTTCTATGGAGACATATTCCTTCACTTAATTTCAGCGGAAATTTATCATCAATGTTATGAACATTCTTTTGAACCTATGACGTAATCATTTTAAGAAAGTATAACACTATTATTTAGATTGGAAAATATCTCTATTTTAATAAATATCCATTTTACTATGTCTACTGAAGTGAATCCAATTGATATGAAACAATCATCACCAACAACTGATGAATCAATGAAAGTAGATCTAATGAAAATGGATGATAATTTAAAATCAAATATTACATGTGAATTATATGATACATTAATAGATCCAGAATGTAAAAAATCTAAATTATCCGATGTTTGGGAAACAAGTCATACACCTCCATTAGAATGTCAAGAATATGATTCGTTAAAAGTTAAAAAAGATCTATACAAAGATATTACTACCAATGTAGATGTTGTTGATGAGGATGATGGTGATAATTTGAAAAAATTCCATGATACAGAAAAATTTGTATCATGTTATAGACATACAGATGATTATGAAATATATCATTCTAGTATTGAAAAAGATATTTGTACAGAATCGGATAATCCTATGTACATACCAATTAAATTACCATTGAGTAGTAATTTATATGTTCCAGTATATTATGTACAGTCGAGTGAAGAAACTTCACCTAAATTAAATAAACATAATTTGGATTTTAATGACTCAAATAATATCCATAAGGATTCTAATAATAATAATAATAATAATATCAAATCAATGGTAAGTCATAAATATCGTTTAAATTCTCATGATAACCTAAGTAAACAAGATGAATCTCAACGACTAACTAGTGATTATCATATAAATATTAATAATCAGGGATATGAAAATTGTTTATCAAAATATGATACAACTAAGCCAGAACCTAATCCTTATGACTTAGAAATATGTAATGTACAAACAGAATTAAATGAACCATTAATGAAAACAAAGAATTCAGAGAAATCGAAAACTAGTAAATTGTTATTAAAACAAAAACTACATTTTATGAAGCCAAAATTAAAAATGAATATGAATAATACAGAAAATGAAATTGTTATACCGGATAATCAGGGAAAAATGACTGATGAAAGTAACAGAATTGAAAAAAGACAAAAAATTGGTTGTTCACCTAAACTTAAATTTAAAAAACATGAACATCGAAATAGAAAGGAATCAGAAATTATGCAACAAAATGATAAACCTGTTGAAGGAGTTATCAGTGGAAAACAATACAAAATACCTGATCATAATTTGAATAATCAACTCGATGAACATGTATCAAATGAAACATCAGCAGGGGAAAACAAAAACGTGACAAGAAAAATGAAAATGCTACATCGTAAGAGAAATGAAGTGAAAGACAACGAAAAAAATATTTCAAAAGGAGTACAAAAGAAAGAAAGACGAATAACGGACAATAGAGCAATCAAAGAAAAAAAAACGGAAGATGAAAAAATGAAGAAACAAACTCAGAAGATAGAAACGAAGAAGCGAAAACGTATCATAAACCCATGCGTAAAATTTAATACGACTAAAGAAAATCAGCAAAAATTAATGAACAAAAGCACAGAAGAAAGGAAAGAGCCAACAGATATAAAAGCAAATAGAGAAAAACATGAAAATATAGCAAAAAAAGAGAAAAAAGACATCAAGAGGAACAAGTTCCACTGGTCTCCGAATATCTCATTGCCAAAGTTGAAAGTGCATGGACCAGATTTGTCTGGAAAACTTCATGCAGATGCACCTGATGTGGATGTGAATGTGACTGGTCCATCTGTGAAGGTGCCATCTCTGAAAGCCAGTGGTCATTTGCCTACTGTCGATGTGTCCGTTCCCGATGCATCGTTGGGAGGTGATCTATCCGGTAAGATCGATTTGGAGGGTGTCGGTGTGGGAGTTGTGGACGCCGATTTGAATCTGCCAGACCTACAGATCTCAGGAAACGTGAGTGCACCGTCTGTCGAGGGAGACCTATCCATGCCAGATGTTTCCGCCAGTCTGGACACAGATGTGAAACTGCCCAGTGTGCAACTGACTGGTCCAGATCTCCGTGTACATGGTGAGATACCGGATGTGGATGTGGGTGCTAAGGTGGATGTGCCGAAACCACATATTTCAATCAAGACACCGAAATTCGGGTTCGGTCTGGGCAAGAAGAAGACGAAAGTGAAGACTCCAGAGGCTGATGTGAAAGTGGAGGGTGGAGCAGGTGGAGATATAGATTTGGATGCCGGTTTGGACGCTCACTTAGATGGTAAAGCAAGAAAGGGAGGTAAGAAGTTCCATTGGTCTCCTAAGTTCGGGTTGCCGAAGGGTGGTCTGAAGATTGGTGGAGGTGCTGGTGTTGGAGTGCCGGACACCTCGGTGTCTGTCTCAGGTACGACTGGTGGTGTGGATGTGTCTCTTCCGAAACCCAAACTCGATGTCTCCATGGAGGTTCCCGACGTTGGTGTGTCCGCCTCTGTGCCCGAAATCGATGTATCAGGTGGTGAGTTGGGACTGACTGGGAAGGTTTCTGCACCCGGTGTGGATGTCAGTGTTCCATCGAAAAAGAAGAAGTTCACGTTCGGTTGGGGCTCGAAAGACAAGAAGGCGAAGAAGGTGAAGTTGCCCACAGTGTCGGGAGACGTGGATGCTAGTTTGGATGTGGGTGGAAAGGTTGATGTTCCCAGTGTGAAGGTTGATGTGGACTCGGGTGATCGAGTCAAAGGTAAGAAGTTCCACTGGTCTCCGAATATCTCATTGCCAAAGTTGAAAGTGCATGGACCAGATTTGTCTGGAAAACTTCATGCAGATGCACCTGATGTGGATGTGAATGTGACTGGTCCATCTGTGAAGGTGCCATCTCTGAAAGCCAGTGGTCATTTGCCTACTGTCGATGTGTCCGTTCCCGATGCATCGTTGGGAGGTGATCTATCCGGTAAGATCGATTTGGAGGGTGTCGGTGTGGGAGTTGTGGACGCCGATTTGAATCTGCCAGACCTACAGATCTCAGGAAACGTGAGTGCACCGTCTGTCGAGGGAGACCTATCCATGCCAGATGTTTCCGCCAGTCTGGACACAGATGTGAAACTGCCCAGTGTGCAACTGACTGGTCCAGATCTCCGTGTACATGGTGAGATACCGGATGTGGATGTGGGTGCTAAGGTGGATGTGCCGAAACCACATATTTCAATCAAGACACCGAAATTCGGGTTCGGTCTGGGCAAGAAGAAGACGAAAGTGAAGACTCCAGAGGCTGATGTGAAAGTGGAGGGTGAAGCAGGTGGAGATATAGATTTGGATGCCGGTTTGGACGCTCACTTAGATGGTAAAGCAAGAAAGGGAGGTAAGAAGTTCCATTGGTCTCCTAAGTTCGGGTTGCCGAAGGGTGGTCTGAAGATTGGTGGAGGTGCTGGTGTTGGAGTGCCGGACACCTCGGTGTCTGTCTCAGGTACGACTGGTGGTGTGGATGTGTCTCTTCCGAAACCCAAACTCGATGTCTCCATGGAGGTTCCCGACGTTGGTGTGTCCGCCTCTGTGCCCGAAATCGATGTATCAGGTGGTGAGTTGGGACTGACTGGGAAGGTTTCTGCACCCGGTGTGGATGTCAGTGTTCCATCGAAAAAGAAGAAGTTCACGTTCGGTTGGGGCTCGAAAGACAAGAAGGCGAAGAAGGTGAAGTTGCCCACAGTGTCGGGAGACGTGGATGCTAGTTTGGATGTGGGTGGAAAGGTTGATGTTCCCAGTGTGAAGGTTGATGTGGACTCGGGTGATCGAGTCAAAGGTAAGAAGTTCCACTGGTCTCCGAATATCTCATTGCCAAAGTTGAAAGTGCATGGACCAGATTTGTCTGGAAAACTTCATGCAGATGCACCTGATGTGGATGTGAATGTGACTGGTCCATCTGTGAAGGTGCCATCTCTGAAAGCCAGTGGTCATTTGCCTACTGTCGATGTGTCCGTTCCCGATGCATCGTTGGGAGGTGATCTATCCGGTAAGATCGATTTGGAGGGTGTCGGTGTGGGAGTTGTGGACGCCGATTTGAATCTGCCAGACCTACAGATCTCAGGAAACGTGAGTGCACCGTCTGTCGAGGGAGACCTATCCATGCCAGATGTTTCCGCCAGTCTGGACACAGATGTGAAACTGCCCAGTGTGCAACTGACTGGTCCAGATCTCCGTGTACATGGTGAGATACCGGATGTGGATGTGGGTGCTAAGGTGGATGTGCCGAAACCACATATTTCAATCAAGACACCGAAATTCGGGTTCGGTCTGGGCAAGAAGAAGACGAAAGTGAAGACTCCAGAGGCTGATGTGAAAGTGGAGGGTGGAGCAGGTGGAGATATAGATTTGGATGCCGGTTTGGACGCTCACTTAGATGGTAAAGCAAGAAAGGGAGGTAAGAAGTTCCATTGGTCTCCTAAGTTCGGGTTGCCGAAGGGTGGTCTGAAGATTGGTGGAGGTGCTGGTGTTGGAGTGCCGGACACCTCGGTGTCTGTCTCAGGTACGACTGGTGGTGTGGATGTGTCTCTTCCGAAACCCGAACTCGATGTCTCCATGGAGGTTCCCGACGTTGGTTTGTCCGCCTCTGTGCCCGAAATCGATGTATCAGGTGGTGAGTTGGGACTGACTGGGAAGGTTTCTGCACCCGGTGTGGATGTCAGTGTTCCATCGAAAAAGAAGAAGTTCACGTTCGGTTGGGGCTCGAAAGACAAGAAGGCGAAGAAGGTGAAGTTGCCCACAGTGTCGGGAGACGTGGATGCTAGTTTGGATGTGGGTGGAAAGGTTGATGTTCCCAGTGTGAAGGTTGATGTGGACTCGGGTGATCGAGTCAAAGGTAAGAAGTTCCACTGGTCTCCGAATATCTCATTGCCAAAGTTGAAAGTGCATGGACCAGATTTGTCTGGAAAACTTCATGCAGATGCACCTGATGTGGATGTGAATGTGACTGGTCCATCTGTGAAGGTGCCATCTCTGAAAGCCAGTGGTCATTTGCCTACTGTCGATGTGTCCGTTCCCGATGCATCGTTGGGAGGTGATCTATCCGGTAAGATCGATTTGGAGGGTGTCGGTGTGGGAGTTGTGGACGCCGATTTGAATCTGCCAGACCTACAGATCTCAGGAAACGTGAGTGCACCGTCTGTCGAGGGAGACCTATCCATGCCAGATGTTTCCGCCAGTCTGGACACAGATGTGAAACTGCCCAGTGTGCAACTGACTGGTCCAGATCTCCGTGTACATGGTGAGATACCGGATGTGGATGTGGGTGCTAAGGTGGATGTGCCGAAACCACATATTTCAATCAAGACACCGAAATTCGGGTTCGGTCTGGGCAAGAAGAAGACGAAAGTGAAGACTCCAGAGGCTGATGTGAAAGTGGAGGGTGGAGCAGGTGGAGATATAGATTTGGATGCCGGTTTGGACGCTCACTTAGATGGTAAAGCAAGAAAGGGAGGTAAGAAGTTCCATTGGTCTCCTAAGTTCGGGTTGCCGAAGGGTGGTCTGAAGATTGGTGGAGGTGCTGGTGTTGGAGTGCCGGACACCTCGGTGTCTGTCTCAGGTACGACTGGTGGTGTGGATGTGTCTCTTCCGAAACCCGAACTCGATGTCTCCATGGAGGTTCCCGACGTTGGTGTGTCCGCCTCTGTGCCCGAAATCGATGTATCAGGTGGTGAGTTGGGACTGACTGGGAAGGTTTCTGCACCCGGTGTGGATGTCAGTGTTCCATCGAAAAAGAAGAAGTTCACGTTCGATTGGGGCTCGAAAGACAAGAAGGCGAAGAAGGTGAAGTTGCCCACAGTGTCGGGGGACGTGGATGCTAGTTTGGATGTGGGTGGAAAGGTTGATGTTCCCAGTGTGAAGGTTGATGTGGACTCGGGTGATCGAGTCAAAGGTAAGAAGTTCCACTGGTCTCCGAATATCTCATTGCCAAAGTTGAAAGTGCATGGACCAGATTTGTCTGGAAAACTTCATGCAGATGCACCTGATGTGGATGTGAATGTGACTGGTCCATCTGTGAAGGTGCCATCTCTGAAAGCCAGTGGTCATTTGCCTACTGTCGATGTGTCCGTTCCCGATGCATCGTTGGGAGGTGATCTATCCGGTAAGATCGATTTGGAGGGTGTCGGTGTGGGAGTTGTGGACGCCGATTTGAATCTGCCAGACCTACAGATCTCAGGAAACGTGAGTGCACCGTCTGTCGAGGGAGACCTATCCATGCCAGATGTTTCCGCCAGTCTGGACACAGATGTGAAACTGCCCAGTGTGCAACTGACTGGTCCAGATCTCCGTGTACATGGTGAGATACCGGATGTGGATGTGGGTGCTAAGGTGGATGTGCCGAAACCACATATTTCAATCAAGACACCGAAATTCGGGTTCGGTCTGGGCAAGAAGAAGACGAAAGTGAAGACTCCAGAGGCTGATGTGAAAGTGGAGGGTGAAGCAGGTGGAGATATAGATTTGGATGCTGGTTTGGACGCTCACTTAGATGGTAAAGCAAGAAAGGGAGGTAAGAAGTTCCATTGGTCTCCTAAGTTCGGGTTGCCGAAGGGTGGTCTGAAGATTGGTGGAGGTGCTGGTGTTGGAGTGCCGGACACCTCGGTGTCTGTCTCAGGTACGACTGGTGGTGTGGATGTGTCTCTTCCGAAACCCGAACTCGATGTCTCCATGGAGGTTCCCGACGTTGGTTTGTCCGCCTCTGTGCCCGAAATCGATGTATCAGGTGGTGAGTTGGGACTGACTGGGAAGGTTTCTGCACCCGGTGTGGATGTCAGTGTTCCATCGAAAAAGAAGAAGTTCACGTTCGGTTGGGGCTCGAAAGACAAGAAGGCGAAGAAGGTGAAGTTGCCCACAGTGTCGGGAGACGTGGATGCTAGTTTGGATGTGGGTGGAAAGGTTGATGTTCCCAGTGTGAAGGTTGATGTGGACTCGGGTGATCGAGTCAAAGGTAAGAAGTTCCACTGGTCTCCGAATATCTCATTGCCAAAGTTGAAAGTGCATGGACCAGATTTGTCTGGAAAACTTCATGCAGATGCACCTGATGTGGATGTGAATGTGACTGGTCCATCTGTGAAGGTGCCATCTCTGAAAGCCAGTGGTCATTTGCCTACTGTCGATGTGTCCGTTCCCGATGCATCGTTGGGAGGTGATCTATCCGGTAAGATCGATTTGGAGGGTGTCGGTGTGGGAGTTGTGGACGCCGATTTGAATCTGCCAGACCTACAGATCTCAGGAAACGTGAGTGCACCGTCTGTCGAGGGAGACCTATCCATGCCAGATGTTTCCGCCAGTCTGGACACAGATGTGAAACTGCCCAGTGTGCAACTGACTGGTCCAGATCTCCGTGTACATGGTGAGATACCGGATGTGGATGTGGGTGCTAAGGTGGATGTGCCGAAACCACATATTTCAATCAAGACACCGAAATTCGGGTTCGGTCTGGGCAAGAAGAAGACGAAAGTGAAGACTCCAGAGGCTGATGTGAAAGTGGAGGGTGGAGCAGGTGGAGATATAGATTTGGATGCCGGTTTGGACGCTCACTTAGATGGTAAAGCAAGAAAGGGAGGTAAGAAGTTCCATTGGTCTCCTAAGTTCGGGTTGCCGAAGGGTGGTCTGAAGATTGGTGGAGGTGCTGGTGTTGGAGTGCCGGACACCTCGGTGTCTGTCTCAGGTACGACTGGTGGTGTGGATGTGTCTCTTCCGAAACCCGAACTCGATGTCTCCATGGAGGTTCCCGACGTTGGTGTGTCCGCCTCTGTGCCCGAAATCGATGTATCAGGTGGTGAGTTGGGACTGACTGGGAAGGTTTCTGCACCCGGTGTGGATGTCAGTGTTCCATCGAAAAAGAAGAAGTTCACGTTCGATTGGGGCTCGAAAGACAAGAAGGCGAAGAAGGTGAAGTTGCCCACAGTGTCGGGGGACGTGGATGCTAGTTTGGATGTGGGTGGAAAGGTTGATGTTCCCAGTGTGAAGGTTGATGTGGACTCGGGTGATCGAGTCAAAGGTAAGAAGTTCCACTGGTCTCCGAATATCTCATTGCCAAAGTTGAAAGTGCATGGACCAGATTTGTCTGGAAAACTTCATGCAGATGCACCTGATGTGGATGTGAATGTGACTGGTCCATCTGTGAAGGTGCCATCTCTGAAAGCCAGTGGTCATTTGCCTACTGTCGATGTGTCCGTTCCCGATGCATCGTTGGGAGGTGATCTATCCGGTAAGATCGATTTGGAGGGTGTCGGTGTGGGAGTTGTGGACGCCGATTTGAATCTGCCAGACCTACAGATCTCAGGAAACGTGAGTGCACCGTCTGTCGAGGGAGACCTATCCATGCCAGATGTTTCCGCCAGTCTGGACACAGATGTGAAACTGCCCAGTGTGCAACTGACTGGTCCAGATCTCCGTGTACATGGTGAGATACCGGATGTGGATGTGGGTGCTAAGGTGGATGTGCCGAAACCACATATTTCAATCAAGACACCGAAATTCGGGTTCGGTCTGGGCAAGAAGAAGACGAAAGTGAAGACTCCAGAGGCTGATGTGAAAGTGGAGGGTGGAGCAGGTGGAGATATAGATTTGGATGCCGGTTTGGACGCTCACTTAGATGGTAAAGCAAGAAAGGGAGGTAAGAAGTTCCATTGGTCTCCTAAGTTCGGGTTGCCGAAGGGTGGTCTGAAGATTGGTGGAGGTGCTGGTGTTGGAGTGCCGGACACCTCGGTGTCTGTCTCAGGTACGACTGGTGGTGTGGATGTGTCTCTTCCGAAACCCAAACTCGATGTCTCCATGGAGGTTCCCGACGTTGGTTTGTCCGCCTCTGTGCCCGAAATCGATGTATCAGGTGGTGAGTTGGGACTGACTGGGAAGGTTTCTGCACCCGGTGTGGATGTCAGTGTTCCATCGAAAAAGAAGAAGTTCACGTTCGGTTGGGGCTCGAAAGACAAGAAGGCGAAGAAGGTGAAGTTGCCCACAGTGTCGGGAGACGTGGATGCTAGTTTGGATGTGGGTGGAAAGGTTGATGTTCCCAGTGTGAAGGTTGATGTGGACTCGGGTGATCGAGTCAAAGGTAAGAAGTTCCACTGGTCTCCGAATATCTCATTGCCAAAGTTGAAAGTGCATGGACCAGATTTGTCTGGAAAACTTCATGCAGATGCACCTGATGTGGATGTGAATGTGACTGGTCCATCTGTGAAGGTGCCATCTCTGAAAGCCAGTGGTCATTTGCCTACTGTCGATGTGTCCGTTCCCGATGCATCGTTGGGAGGTGATCTATCCGGTAAGATCGATTTGGAGGGTGTCGGTGTGGGAGTTGTGGACGCCGATTTGAATCTGCCAGACCTACAGATCTCAGGAAACGTGAGTGCACCGTCTGTCGAGGGAGACCTATCCATGCCAGATGTTTCCGCCAGTCTGGACACAGATGTGAAACTGCCCAGTGTGCAACTGACTGGTCCAGATCTCCGTGTACATGGTGAGATACCGGATGTGGATGTGGGTGCTAAGGTGGATGTGCCGAAACCACATATTTCAATCAAGACACCGAAATTCGGGTTCGGTCTGGGCAAGAAGAAGACGAAAGTGAAGACTCCAGAGGCTGATGTGAAAGTGGAGGGTGGAGCAGGTGGAGATATAGATTTGGATGCCGGTTTGGACGCTCACTTAGATGGTAAAGCAAGAAAGGGAGGTAAGAAGTTCCATTGGTCTCCTAAGTTCGGGTTGCCGAAGGGTGGTCTGAAGATTGGTGGAGGTGCTGGTGTTGGAGTGCCGGACACCTCGGTGTCTGTCTCAGGTACGACTGGTGGTGTGGATGTGTCTCTTCCGAAACCCGAACTCGATGTCTCCATGGAGGTTCCCGACGTTGGTTTGTCCGCCTCTGTGCCCGAAATCGATGTATCAGGTGGTGAGTTGGGACTGACTGGGAAGGTTTCTGCACCCGGTGTGGATGTCAGTGTTCCATCGAAAAAGAAGAAGTTCACGTTCGGTTGGGGCTCGAAAGACAAGAAGGCGAAGAAGGTGAAGTTGCCCACAGTGTCGGGAGACGTGGATGCTAGTTTGGATGTGGGTGGAAAGGTTGATGTTCCCAGTGTGAAGGTTGATGTGGACTCGGGTGATCGAGTCAAAGGTAAGAAGTTCCACTGGTCTCCGAATATCTCATTGCCAAAGTTGAAAGTGCATGGACCAGATTTGTCTGGAAAACTTCATGCAGATGCACCTGATGTGGATGTGAATGTGACTGGTCCATCTGTGAAGGTGCCATCTCTGAAAGCCAGTGGTCATTTGCCTACTGTCGATGTGTCCGTTCCCGATGCATCGTTGGGAGGTGATCTATCCGGTAAGATCGATTTGGAGGGTGTCGGTGTGGGAGTTGTGGACGCCGATTTGAATCTGCCAGACCTACAGATCTCAGGAAACGTGAGTGCACCGTCTGTCGAGGGAGACCTATCCATGCCAGATGTTTCCGCCAGTCTGGACACAGATGTGAAACTGCCCAGTGTGCAACTGACTGGTCCAGATCTCCGTGTACATGGTGAGATACCGGATGTGGATGTGGGTGCTAAGGTGGATGTGCCGAAACCACATATTTCAATCAAGACACCGAAATTCGGGTTCGGTCTGGGCAAGAAGAAGACGAAAGTGAAGACTCCAGAGGCTGATGTGAAAGTGGAGGGTGGAGCAGGTGGAGATATAGATTTGGATGCCGGTTTGGACGCTCACTTAGATGGTAAAGCAAGAAAGGGAGGTAAGAAGTTCCATTGGTCTCCTAAGTTCGGGTTGCCGAAGGGTGGTCTGAAGATTGGTGGAGGTGCTGGTGTTGGAGTGCCGGACACCTCGGTGTCTGTCTCAGGTACGACTGGTGGTGTGGATGTGTCTCTTCCGAAACCCGAACTCGATGTCTCCATGGAGGTTCCCGACGTTGGTTTGTCCGCCTCTGTGCCCGAAATCGATGTATCAGGTGGTGAGTTGGGACTGACTGGGAAGGTTTCTGCACCCGGTGTGGATGTCAGTGTTCCATCGAAAAAGAAGAAGTTCACGTTCGGTTGGGGCTCGAAAGACAAGAAGGCGAAGAAGGTGAAGTTGCCCACAGTGTCGGGAGACGTGGATGCTAGTTTGGATGTGGGTGGAAAGGTTGATGTTCCCAGTGTGAAGGTTGATGTGGACTCGGGTGATCGAGTCAAAGGTAAGAAGTTCCACTGGTCTCCGAATATCTCATTGCCAAAGTTGAAAGTGCATGGACCAGATTTGTCTGGAAAACTTCATGCAGATGCACCTGATGTGGATGTGAATGTGACTGGTCCATCTGTGAAGGTGCCATCTCTGAAAGCCAGTGGTCATTTGCCTACTGTCGATGTGTCCGTTCCCGATGCATCGTTGGGAGGTGATCTATCCGGTAAGATCGATTTGGAGGGTGTCGGTGTGGGAGTTGTGGACGCCGATTTGAATCTGCCAGACCTACAGATCTCAGGAAACGTGAGTGCACCGTCTGTCGAGGGAGACCTATCCATGCCAGATGTTTCCGCCAGTCTGGACACAGATGTGAAACTGCCCAGTGTGCAACTGACTGGTCCAGATCTCCGTGTACATGGTGAGATACCGGATGTGGATGTGGGTGCTAAGGTGGATGTGCCGAAACCACATATTTCAATCAAGACACCGAAATTCGGGTTCGGTCTGGGCAAGAAGAAGACGAAAGTGAAGACTCCAGAGGCTGATGTGAAAGTGGAGGGTGGAGCAGGTGGAGATATAGATTTGGATGCCGGTTTGGACGCTCACTTAGATGGTAAAGCAAGAAAGGGAGGTAAGAAGTTCCATTGGTCTCCTAAGTTCGGGTTGCCGAAGGGTGGTCTGAAGATTGGTGGAGGTGCTGGTGTTGGAGTGCCGGACACCTCGGTGTCTGTCTCAGGTACGACTGGTGGTGTGGATGTGTCTCTTCCGAAACCCGAACTCGATGTCTCCATGGAGGTTCCCGACGTTGGTTTGTCCGCCTCTGTGCCCGAAATCGATGTATCAGGTGGTGAGTTGGGACTGACTGGGAAGGTTTCTGCACCCGGTGTGGATGTCAGTGTTCCATCGAAAAAGAAGAAGTTCACGTTCGGTTGGGGCTCGAAAGACAAGAAGGCGAAGAAGGTGAAGTTGCCCACAGTGTCGGGAGACGTGGATGCTAGTTTGGATGTGGGTGGAAAGGTTGATGTTCCCAGTGTGAAGGTTGATGTGGACTCGGGTGATCGAGTCAAAGGTAAGAAGTTCCACTGGTCTCCGAATATCTCATTGCCAAAGTTGAAAGTGCATGGACCAGATTTGTCTGGAAAACTTCATGCAGATGCACCTGATGTGGATGTGAATGTGACTGGTCCATCTGTGAAGGTGCCATCTCTGAAAGCCAGTGGTCATTTGCCTACTGTCGATGTGTCCGTTCCCAATGCATCGTTGGGAGGTGATCTATCCGGTAAGATCGATTTGGAGGGTGTCGGTGTGGGAGTTGTGGACGCCGATTTGAATCTGCCAGACCTACAGATCTCAGGAAACGTGAGTGCACCGTCTGTCGAGGGAGACCTATCCATGCCAGATGTTTCCGCCAGTCTGGACACAGATGTGAAACTGCCCAGTGTGCAACTGACTGGTCCAGATCTCCGTGTACATGGTGAGATACCGGATGTGGATGTGGGTGCTAAGGTGGATGTGCCGAAACCACATATTTCAATCAAGACACCGAAATTCGGGTTCGGTCTGGGCAAGAAGAAGACGAAAGTGAAGACTCCAGAGGCTGATGTGAAAGTGGAGGGTGGAGCAGGTGGAGATATAGATTTGGATACCGGTTTGGACGCTCACTTAGATGGTAAAGCAAGAAAGGGAGGTAAGAAGTTCCATTGGTCTCCTAAGTTCGGGTTGCCGAAGGGTGGTCTGAAGATTGGTGGAGGTGCTGGTGTTGGAGTGCCGGACACCTCGGTGTCTGTCTCAGGTACGACTGGTGGTGTGGATGTGTCTCTTCCGAAACCCGAACTCGATGTCTCCATGGAGGTTCCCGACGTTGGTGTGTCCGCCTCTGTGCCCGAAATCGATGTATCAGGTGGTGAGTTGGGACTGACTGGGAAGGTTTCTGCACCCGGTGTGGATGTCAGTGTTCCATCGAAAAAGAAGAAGTTCACGTTCGGTTGGGGCTCGAAAGACAAGAAGGCGAAGAAGGTGAAGTTGCCCACAGTGTCGGGAGACGTAGATGCTAGTTTGGATGTGGGTGGAAAGGTTGATGTTCCCAGTGTGAAGGTTGATGTGGACTCGGGTGATCGAGTCAAAGGTAAGAAGTTCCACTGGTCTCCGAATATCTCATTGCCAAAGTTGAAAGTGCATGGACCAGATTTGTCTGGAAAACTTCATGCAGATGCACCTGATGTGGATGTGAATGTGACTGGTCCATCTGTGAAGGTGCCATCTCTGAAAGCCAGTGGTCATTTGCCTACTGTCGATGTGTCCGTTCCCGATGCATCGTTGGGAGGTGATCTATCCGGTAAGATCGATTTGGAGGGTGTCGGTGTGGGAGTTGTGGACGCCGATTTGAATCTGCCAGACCTACAGATCTCAGGAAACGTGAGTGCACCGTCTGTCGAGGGAGACCTATCCATGCCAGATGTTTCCGCCAGTCTGGACACAGATGTGAAACTGCCCAGTGTGCAACTGACTGGTCCAGATCTCCGTGTACATGGTGAGATACCGGATGTGGATGTGGGTGCTAAGGTGGATGTGCCGAAACCACATATTTCAATCAAGACACCGAAATTCGGGTTCGGTCTGGGCAAGAAGAAGACGAAAGTGAAGACTCCAGAGGCTGATGTGAAAGTGGAGGGTGGAGCAGGTGGAGATATAGATTTGGATGCCGGTTTGGACGCTCACTTAGATGGTAAAGCAAGAAAGGGAGGTAAGAAGTTCCATTGGTCTCCTAAGTTCGGGTTGCCGAAGGGTGGTCTGAAGATTGGTGGAGGTGCTGGTGTTGGAGTGCCGGACACCTCGGTGTCTGTCTCAGGTACGACTGGTGGTGTGGATGTGTCTCTTCCGAAACCCGAACTCGATGTCTCCATGGAGGTTCCCGACGTTGGTGTGTCCGCCTCTGTGCCCGAAATCGATGTATCAGGTGGTGAGTTGGGACTGACTGGGAAGGTTTCTGCACCCGGTGTGGATGTCAGTGTTCCATCGAAAAAGAAGAAGTTCACGTTCGGTTGGGGCTCGAAAGACAAGAAGGCGAAGAAGGTGAAGTTGCCCACAGTGTCGGGAGACGTGGATGCTAGTTTGGATGTGGGTGGAAAGGTTGATGTTCCCAGTGTGAAGGTTGATGTGGACTCGGGTGATCGAGTCAAAGGTAAGAAGTTCCACTGGTCTCCGAATATCTCATTGCCAAAGTTGAAAGTGCATGGACCAGATTTGTCTGGAAAACTTCATGCAGATGCACCTGATGTGGATGTGAATGTGACTGGTCCATCTGTGAAGGTGCCATCTCTGAAAGCCAGTGGTCATTTGCCTACTGTCGATGTGTCCGTTCCCGATGCATCGTTGGGAGGTGATCTATCCGGTAAGATCGATTTGGAGGGTGTCGGTGTGGGAGTTGTGGACGCCGATTTGAATCTGCCAGACCTACAGATCTCAGGAAACGTGAGTGCACCGTCTGTCGAGGGAGACCTATCCATGCCAGATGTTTCCGCCAGTCTGGACACAGATGTGAAACTGCCCAGTGTGCAACTGACTGGTCCAGATCTCCGTGTACATGGTGAGATACCGGATGTGGATGTGGGTGCTAAGGTGGATGTGCCGAAACCACATATTTCAATCAAGACACCGAAATTCGGGTTCGGTCTGGGCAAGAAGAAGACGAAAGTGAAGACTCCAGAGGCTGATGTGAAAGTGGAGGGTGGAGCAGGTGGAGATATAGATTTGGATGCCGGTTTGGACGCTCACTTAGATGGTAAAGCAAGAAAGGGAGGTAAGAAGTTCCATTGGTCTCCTAAGTTCGGGTTGCCGAAGGGTGGTCTGAAGATTGGTGGAGGTGCTGGTGTTGGAGTGCCGGACACCTCGGTGTCTGTCTCAGGTACGACTGGTGGTGTGGATGTGTCTCTTCCGAAACCCGAACTCGATGTCTCCATGGAGGTTCCCGACGTTGGTTTGTCCGCCTCTGTGCCCGAAATCGATGTATCAGGTGGTGAGTTGGGACTGACTGGGAAGGTTTCTGCACCCGGTGTGGATGTCAGTGTTCCATCGAAAAAGAAGAAGTTCACGTTCGGTTGGGGCTCGAAAGACAAGAAGGCGAAGAAGGTGAAGTTGCCCACAGTGTCGGGAGACGTGGATGCTAGTTTGGATGTGGGTGGAAAGGTTGATGTTCCCAGTGTGAAGGTTGATGTGGACTCGGGTGATCGAGTCAAAGGTAAGAAGTTCCACTGGTCTCCGAATATCTCATTGCCAAAGTTGAAAGTGCATGGACCAGATTTGTCTGGAAAACTTCATGCAGATGCACCTGATGTGGATGTGAATGTGACTGGTCCATCTGTGAAGGTGCCATCTCTGAAAGCCAGTGGTCATTTGCCTACTGTCGATGTGTCCGTTCCCGATGCATCGTTGGGAGGTGATCTATCCGGTAAGATCGATTTGGAGGGTGTCGGTGTGGGAGTTGTGGACGCCGATTTGAATCTGCCAGACCTACAGATCTCAGGAAACGTGAGTGCACCGTCTGTCGAGGGAGACCTATCCATGCCAGATGTTTCCGCCAGTCTGGACACAGATGTGAAACTGCCCAGTGTGCAACTGACTGGTCCAGATCTCCGTGTACATGGTGAGATACCGGATGTGGATGTGGGTGCTAAGGTGGATGTGCCGAAACCACATATTTCAATCAAGACACCGAAATTCGGGTTCGGTCTGGGCAAGAAGAAGACGAAAGTGAAGACTCCAGAGGCTGATGTGAAAGTGGAGGGTGGAGCAGGTGGAGATATAGATTTGGATGCCGGTTTGGACGCTCACTTAGATGGTAAAGCAAGAAAGGGAGGTAAGAAGTTCCATTGGTCTCCTAAGTTCGGGTTGCCGAAGGGTGGTCTGAAGATTGGTGGAGGTGCTGGTGTTGGAGTGCCGGACACCTCGGTGTCTGTCTCAGGTACGACTGGTGGTGTGGATGTGTCTCTTCCGAAACCCGAACTCGATGTCTCCATGGAGGTTCCCGACGTTGGTTTGTCCGCCTCTGTGCCCGAAATCGATGTATCAGGTGGTGAGTTGGGACTGACTGGGAAGGTTTCTGCACCCGGTGTGGATGTCAGTGTTCCATCGAAAAAGAAGAAGTTCACGTTCGGTTGGGGCTCGAAAGACAAGAAGGCGAAGAAGGTGAAGTTGCCCACAGTGTCGGGAGACGTGGATGCTAGTTTGGATGTGGGTGGAAAGGTTGATGTTCCCAGTGTGAAGGTTGATGTGGACTCGGGTGATCGAGTCAAAGGTAAGAAGTTCCACTGGTCTCCGAATATCTCATTGCCAAAGTTGAAAGTGCATGGACCAGATTTGTCTGGAAAACTTCATGCAGATGCACCTGATGTGGATGTGAATGTGACTGGTCCATCTGTGAAGGTGCCATCTCTGAAAGCCAGTGGTCATTTGCCTACTGTCGATGTGTCCGTTCCCGATGCATCGTTGGGAGGTGATCTATCCGGTAAGATCGATTTGGAGGGTGTCGGTGTGGGAGTTGTGGACGCCGATTTGAATCTGCCAGACCTACAGATCTCAGGAAACGTGAGTGCACCGTCTGTCGAGGGAGACCTATCCATGCCAGATGTTTCCGCCAGTCTGGACACAGATGTGAAACTGCCCAGTGTGCAACTGACTGGTCCAGATCTCCGTGTACATGGTGAGATACCGGATGTGGATGTGGGTGCTAAGGTGGATGTGCCGAAACCACATATTTCAATCAAGACACCGAAATTCGGGTTCGGTCTGGGCAAGAAGAAGACGAAAGTGAAGACTCCAGAGGCTGATGTGAAAGTGGAGGGTGGAGCAGGTGGAGATATAGATTTGGATGCCGGTTTGGACGCTCACTTAGATGGTAAAGCAAGAAAGGGAGGTAAGAAGTTCCATTGGTCTCCTAAGTTCGGGTTGCCGAAGGGTGGTCTGAAGATTGGTGGAGGTGCTGGTGTTGGAGTGCCGGACACCTCGGTGTCTGTCTCAGGTACGACTGGTGGTGTGGATGTGTCTCTTCCGAAACCCAAACTCGATGTCTCCATGGAGGTTCCCGACGTTGGTGTGTCCGCCTCTGTGCCCGAAATCGATGTATCAGGTGGTGAGTTGGGACTGACTGGGAAGGTTTCTGCACCCGGTGTGGATGTCAGTGTTCCATCGAAAAAGAAGAAGTTCACGTTCGGTTGGGGCTCGAAAGACAAGAAGGCGAAGAAGGTGAAGTTGCCCACAGTGTCGGGAGACGTGGATGCTAGTTTGGATGTGGGTGGAAAGGTTGATGTTCCCAGTGTGAAGGTTGATGTGGACTCGGGTGATCGAGTCAAAGGTAAGAAGTTCCACTGGTCTCCGAATATCTCATTGCCAAAGTTGAAAGTGCATGGACCAGATTTGTCTGGAAAACTTCATGCAGATGCACCTGATGTGGATGTGAATGTGACTGGTCCATCTGTGAAGGTGCCATCTCTGAAAGCCAGTGGTCATTTGCCTACTGTCGATGTGTCCGTTCCCGATGCATCGTTGGGAGGTGATCTATCCGGTAAGATCGATTTGGAGGGTGTCGGTGTGGGAGTTGTGGACGCCGATTTGAATCTGCCAGACCTACAGATCTCAGGAAACGTGAGTGCACCGTCTGTCGAGGGAGACCTATCCATGCCAGATGTTTCCGCCAGTCTGGACACAGATGTGAAACTGCCCAGTGTGCAACTGACTGGTCCAGATCTCCGTGTACATGGTGAGATACCGGATGTGGATGTGGGTGCTAAGGTGGATGTGCCGAAACCACATATTTCAATCAAGACACCGAAATTCGGGTTCGGTCTGGGCAAGAAGAAGACGAAAGTGAAGACTCCAGAGGCTGATGTGAAAGTGGAGGGTGGAGCAGGTGGAGATATAGATTTGGATGCCGGTTTGGACGCTCACTTAGATGGTAAAGCAAGAAAGGGAGGTAAGAAGTTCCATTGGTCTCCTAAGTTCGGGTTGCCGAAGGGTGGTCTGAAGATTGGTGGAGGTGCTGGTGTTGGAGTGCCGGACACCTCGGTGTCTGTCTCAGGTACGACTGGTGGTGTGGATGTGTCTCTTCCGAAACCCAAACTCGATGTCTCCATGGAGGTTCCCGACGTTGGTTTGTCCGCCTCTGTGCCCGAAATCGATGTATCAGGTGGTGAGTTGGGACTGACTGGGAAGGTTTCTGCACCCGGTGTGGATGTCAGTGTTCCATCGAAAAAGAAGAAGTTCACGTTCGGTTGGGGCTCGAAAGACAAGAAGGCGAAGAAGGTGAAGTTGCCCACAGTGTCGGGAGACGTGGATGCTAGTTTGGATGTGGGTGGAAAGGTTGATGTTCCCAGTGTGAAGGTTGATGTGGACTCGGGTGATCGAGTCAAAGGTAAGAAGTTCCACTGGTCTCCGAATATCTCATTGCCAAAGTTGAAAGTGCATGGACCAGATTTGTCTGGAAAACTTCATGCAGATGCACCTGATTGTAAGATTCCTATAATGGACTCTGAAGTTAATGTTCTTTCTTCTTCTGCGATTTCTTCTTCTTTTCCTGCTTTTGATGTTGCTGCTGGTTATGTTTTATCTGATTCTTGCCTATCTCCTGAATTTGTTCAATCTTACATGCGTGATTCTGTTTTGGTTTTCTCTGATTCTGGCATTATTTCCCCTGTGGTTACTGTCAGTCCTCCTGTCGTTTCTTCGCCTTCACCTTCTGAACCATTCGAATCTGTTGATTTTCTTCCTGTCGTTGAGGAACCTGTTATTTCCCCGTTTTCCTCGCCTGATATTTGTGAATCCAGTACTCTTCCTTCTCGAATTTTGCCTAGAAATGCTTTTCAAGATATAGATGAAAGCTTTTCATCTCCTGTTGATTCTGGTTTTAATGGTGACATTTCTAATGATGAGGCTGAAATTGATGAAATTTTTATTGTTCCCATTCAAACCAATCGTGTTCTACCGAAAGAGCAATATTTTACGGAATCACATGACATTGTAGGTGCTGAAGCTGAAGAAAAATCGTATTCCCCTACTCAGAATTTGAATGCATCACATGGGATAAAATCTGATAAAAGTAAATTACACAGTCCATTTCATATTTTGAAATCAAAAAAACATGATAAAGATTCTGCTCATCGAGTAAAAGTCATCGATGCTAACGACCAAATCTCAAGAAATACTGAAAAACCTAATGTTAATAATACACTTTATAGCATCCCTGATGGTTCAGAACGTATTACAGTTGACAGCAAGTCTAAGAAAAAGGTGAAATCTCATCATAAGAAACCACACATATTCGGTGGTCAAATATCGACTGATGAAATTATTTCAGATACTCCCATGAAGCTGGATCATCATGGTGACTACAACGATTTAATAGGAGTATCTGTTTCTGGTCATAATGCTGATCTTGCTTTAACTCCTCGGCGTTCTCCCAGTAAACTCAGAGATCCCTCTATTCGGAAAACGTGGCATGGTGCAAGAGAACCCTATTCTGACTTTGTAGGAAGTCTCAATTCAGACCAAGATGAATACACTTTAACTGAAGATGTTTCGGTTAGTTATCTACAGCCAAGGTCAACCACAAAATCCTCAAATAACAATTCATTAAACGCTTCTGACTTTCTTCGACGTAGTATAGGAAATTCAACAAAACGCCGCCCTTGGAGCACTTTAGAATATCCACCACCTGGGTGTCATTTTGTAGACGATGATTACATGTTTCCAGATGCTTTAACACCGACTAAAATTCCAAGTTTTCGAGCAAGCAAGGAAATAGTTTATGATGTTCCATATATCGACGATAAAGCCATTCCACGTTATGAACCTGAATGGCCTATAGGTGAATCAAGAAGAACTTTGATATCTCAACTCTCACAGAATAGTGGTAGTATTGTTCGAATGACAGCTGAAGAAGAAAGCAGTCTTATATCACTTGGTAAGTTAAAAATTGAAATTATGTTGCTCTTTTTTAATTTTAATGCTTTGATAAAGATTTTCATTTGATGATAATGAAATTATTTGAACCGGCTTACATAAGATTACGTTTTACTTCTTGAACTATATAAGGATAAAAACTCTTAGGTTTTAAGAAAAGGTGATTTCAATAAATAGATAAATTAAAAGGTGTTCAAGCGGATTATTGCTTAGTAACAGTAGTCAATCTCCCTTACAAATCTTTTTTCAGCTGTGTTCTCTTTTCAACTTTAAGTCTCATACCGAATTATGAAGAAATGAAGAAAATAGAATTAGCTATTATTATTATTATTATTATTATTATTATTATTATTATTATTATTAACATTATCACAATTGTGAATGTCAGTTACGAATAAATTTTGAAGTGAGCTGAAGATGTTTAGAGAACTGGTGGGATTTAGAAAGCACAAGACAGTTGTCTCCTTTTAATTTATCTTAGCAGTATACATCTCCAAACTTATGAGGGATCAAGTCCAACGTCGCTAGATACCATAGCATACATGATTCTTAGTTAGAAGTCGATGAATTCTGTTGGCTACTTCAACTATTTAATGATATAGACTGATCTTAATCAGATATGATGAAATGATCGTCAAATTATACAGATTTTTCATAAAATCACTTAATTTACGCATCAAAACTAGTAGATCTCAGTTATACTAATTCATAAATTAATTGAAGTTGGCAATGTTGTTAACTGGTACCTAATTTAAAAGTTCAAATAAATTGTGCTAGTCATAGTGCTGGAAGATCTTACTTCAATTAAAAGAAATGTCACACTATTTAGATTTTTAAATTAGTATAAGTTTACATAGATAAATGAGTTATTTTCATCACATCATTCAGTATGTTCTAAGATGATTTACTATTTACTAAAGTAATAATTCCTTTACAATAGGTAAAGCGCTGTAATTTTATTCAACTAATAATACTTAGATGGTCATTGGTTCTGTTTGAATGATGTTTTACAATCATATAATTTGATATTATTTTACTAACGATTGAATATTTTTTTACTCCAACAATAATGAATTCACTGGTTGAAATCATGAGTCAATTGAAGCTAGACCACCATGGAAAACCTGGAAACACTGGACGACCGTTTCGTCCTAGTGTGGGACTCCTCGGCAGTGCGCATCCACGACCCAGGACCTACCAGTCCCGCGCCAGGCGCTTAACCATCTAGACCACTGAGCCAGCATCCAATGGTGTTAATGTCTAACTTCAACCAATCCACGAAGTTGAGTCATCGTACATCATTGCCTCCAGTGAGTTCCTATCTCACGACAGACCTGGTTGAACTCCACTGGTAACGACTCACTGGGTCGTGGATGCGCACTGCCGAGAAGTCCTACATTAGGACGAAACGGCCGTCCAGTGTTTCCAGATTTTCCATGGTGGTCTAGCTTCAATCGGCTCATGATTTCAACCAGTGAAATTTCTAAAATCTCCACAAAACCCATTCTGATAATAATGAATTTATTTGAATTATCCTATTATTGATAGATGATATTGTGGTGTAGGAAAATTTTTGAAGACTAGTTTTTCCTAGTTGATTACAACATGTGTATACAATGCAAGCAATTCATTATTTTGGTGAATACTTCATACCTAATAACTGTTAGTCATCATGACGATATTGAAATGTTACTAGCTATTATTATTATTGAGAAATGATTAAGTAAATGATTCTTTTAAATTAGTCTAGCGGTCACTTGAAATCTTTCATTTGAAAATAATAACAACATATTTTACTAGTAAGTATCTAGTCTATGTGACTAATGCATTATTGAAAGAAACCAGTCATCATTTCTAATGGATTAATAACAACATTTTTAACTGAAACATTATATCAGAAGGGGTTTTGTGGAGATTTTAGTAGTTTCAATTGTTGAAATCATGAGTCAGTTGAAGCTAGTTGAAGTTAGACATTAACACCGTTGAATGCCGTATCAGTGGTCTAGTGGTTAAGTACTCACGCGAGAGACGAGCATGTCCTGGGTTCGAGTCCTGCGAGGCGGGGTTGTGGATGCGCGCTGCTAAGGAGTTCCACAATGGGACGCAACGGTCGTCTGGTGCTTCCAGGTTTCCCATGGTGGTCCAGCTTCAATTGACTCATGATGTCAACAATTGAAATTACTAAAACATTTTATGTTTTCAGGTCGAACATTTATTACATTATTAAATTTCAAGAATCGACATTACCTACACTTTACTGATTAATGTTTACAAGTTGGAAACACAAGCCCATTGTTGCTTAATAATAAAATAATGTTATTGGAAATTTTTAATGAAAGCGCAAAATTGATCAATGCCTGTGAACATAATAGACGATACTCTGTAATATCAAATAATCTGTACTAACTTTTAGTCTCAGTGTGATCGTTAAAGCTTAAATGAACTCGTATAAACTTAACAAGTGCTATGTTGGACAAAAATCTTATCATGGATTTTAGTGCTAGCCACTATGTATAGTATAGTTACAGTTGTCTCTGTCAATTCAACTAGTCTACTAATTTCAATCGTAGACTATTGTATTTATATTCTTATGATACTTCATAAGCACATAGTAAAATTATGCGGTAATTCAATATTTTGAAAAAATAAGAGAAAAGAAACTGTGAGTACATTTTAAGCTAAACTATATAAAGCTTTAATTTAGTTTGTAATGGTTTGCATTATTTGGGTTGTTTTTTTTTTATATTTTTAGGTGAGATTTTTATCAATTGTAGTTGGGGTGTGTACATGCTATGTGGTTTACCTCTATATAACCATTATTTGACAAGTTCTTATAGAATGCATGGAATATTGCTAATAGTGGGATCCATTATATGTATTTTGTGCTAATTCGGTTTCACTATTTCAATTTACTTGTATCTCAGTGTTAATGTTCACTCCAGGATTCGAACCGAATGCCTTTTGCCTCGAATGTCCAATCACGTTATCCAGTTAGGTACTGAGTTTAAATAGTCGCTAACTTGTACAACTACAGAATAATTCAAATTATCACAAATTGAATTTAAATTCATACCTGTTTCATAAACCAGTAATTATCTCAGAGTGAACTTTAACACTAGGATACAAGTAAATTCAACTGGTGAAACCCAAATAATACAAAACACGCATCCTTTATTTCACTGTTAGCCATATCCTATTTGTTCTATATGGAACTTTCTTGAATGACAGGGGATCTAGTGTGATTAATCAATGGCTTGTCATTCTCTTGTAATGGATAAAGAAACTAGAAAAACTGATCCCATACTTTTTTTTTATTATTATTATGGCACATTGTCATAAGTATGATTAAATTTCAGAGACTTTTCATATTAAATTTCTCATTTATTCTATCAATGTGTAATTGGTACAAATGAAAGGTAACTGTGTTTTCTTTTTTACTTCATATACATAAATTAACATGACTTAGAAAGAATGCATAATATCAGGACACCATAAACCATAAATACTACTATACAATAGTTAGTTAATATATAAGTTTTTCTTGTATTTAACAATTCATATAGAACCGGTGAATAGCCTAATTATAAAATATAAGTATGTTGCGTTAAAAAAAAGCGATACTCATACTCATTTCATTATTTCATATAAGTGTTTGATGATAATATCAGTCTTTAATTTAAGATAGCTGGATAGAATCAATAGGATAGATAAGGTGTAGATCAATCTTATGATTTTCAATATTTATCAACTGTTCAAATCTCACAATTCAATGATAATGTCTTTGATTTCTGCAATGAATGATATGGGTTGTAACCTGTATAATAGTATTCAGTTTCCGTAAAGGCTATACATTTATCTTCATTATATATCTTGATAAGTACAGAATCTAAATTTGATGCATCCTATCTGTTACGTTCAATCCTTCAAAAGAATAAACGCTATCGTTTAGTATTACAACATATTATTTAATGTTTGTGTCTAACAAAACAGTCGACTATTCGACATTGATTGAAATTCCATGATATATTCATACAGTGTTTAACGCTATTTAAGTGATGGTATTAGTTCTTTCAATAGTATACTCACTAGTGATGATTTTGAACATAAGTAATGATAATTTTTAATTTGAAATGCATTAGTCAAATTAAAAAATCAGAATAAACATAGATATTTCAAGGCTTCGATGAATAAACCATTAACGATATATTTATTTATTATTATTAGAAGCTTTATTCAACATTATATTTTTTGGTACAATATAGAATTCTCAGCATAAAATATTTCAACAAGTTTCCTTTTCTTATATCTTGATCGATTGTGACGATAAATTTTGAATGATGACCAGTTAGGTGTTAGGAGTTCGGTAATCCACATTTGATTAATGTACATTCGTTTCAATGCATACTGCCAGACACCATGATGTCGTTGATTGTACCTTTCTGTATCCCGTATAGTAAAAGGTTGTAAACTTTTCATAAACGCGCCTGAATAGATTGTGAGCATAATAGACGTAATGATCTGCTAAAACAAACAAGAAAACAGATAACTTGATGAAATATCAAGATTGGCGGAACAGGTAGCCCAGATATTCAAGTAGGTCGCCACGTAATATATGACATAATAGCTTATTTCCAATAAGATATTAATTTAGTAATTAGGTTATAGAAAACTGAGAAGAAGAAAAAACAGGATTCAATTATTTAGAACAGGAAATAATAGTAGAATAAGGTGAATATATAGGAGATTTAAAAAATTTCTTTGGTGAAATATGTGTTCCAATAAGAAATCAATAAGAAAAGATCCTTTCTTTCTTCTGTTCGATAGTAAGTCCAATACAAATTATATGAAAAGTGATTCTCATGTAAATCAGTAAGTTTTCAATGACTAATAATATAAAATAATCTTCAGAAATTTGAATATAATTACTAAAAGTTTATTCACAATTAATTCAACCGGGTCTGTTGTGAGATAGTAACTCACTGAAAGTAATAGTGAATGTGTTGCCCAATTTCGTGGATTAGTTGAAGTCAGATATTAACACCATGGAATGCCGGCTCAGTGGTCTAAAGGTTAAGCGTTCGCGCACGAAACCGATAGATCCGAGATTTGAATCTCGAGAGGCCGGATCATGGGAACGCACCGCTGAAGAGTCCCACAATAGGACGAAACGGCCTTCCAATGTTTCCAGGTTTTCCATGGTATTTTAGCTTCAATCGATTCATGATCTCGACTATGGAAATTACATAATTTTTGTCAACTATATTATAATAACATTGAAATAATGTCATAATTTAGTTTTGATAGATATATAAATGAAGGTTATTTTTTCTTTCATTTTTGTCACATTCTGTTATGTAATATTATATATTTATTTAGATACTAAACTCTCCGATCATCAGAATATATCCAAAAGAATAAGTCGATTTACATCACATCTTTTGAAAGGTAACAAATCTTCATTGGAACAAGATGATGATGTTTCAAAATCTCGATCGAAAAGTTTAACTCGATTAAAAACATGGTGGTCTAAACGTGGTTCACCGCATAAATGAAACTTGACATTTTATAACAGTAATAATGTTATTCATCCATTTATTTCCAATTCACTTTTGTTCTAAAATGACAACCAGAAATTGTATTGATTGAAATTTACACATAAAAATGCTTTCCCAATTTTTCAAATTTATGTCTCCTCAACTATTCATCTACTAATAATTTGCTGCATTATTCTGTCAGAATAATCATCGATTCAGGTAAGTAATTATTAACTTTCAATTATGTTATCTCTTCTATTTGACTTATTCAGATGTGAGGTCGATTTTCTGTGCATCATTTTCGAGCCTTCCTCACAAATTATTTGATTTATACAAATTGGTTAGTATCACTAAACTTTGCACGTGAATTAGTGTTACATATAGTTGAATAAAATAATGTTTATTTAGTTTCTATGTTGTGTTAATTACGAACTATTGTTATAACTTGTGATCTTGTGTCTTTATCAATATATATAACGTAATGATACCTCCAATTATAGAACAGTGATTTATAGACCGGACCAATGACGCATAAAACCCGTATGAGAAGTCTAGAGTCCTTATCGGTTCTAAATCCCGCCCAGCCCTACCTGTTAAGTCCAGAACACAAATCTCAGACTCCGCAATATCAGTCATGTATTTTAAGTATACAGGGTTTATATAAAAACCAAACAGACCTCATCACACCATGAAATAGAAAATAACATTTGTACAAAATCTAGCGAAAAGTGACTGTGAATGTAGGAGACTGTAATTAATAAACTGGGCATAATTCAAGAACGGTAAATCGTATAATAATAGTTTATGGGTCAAAATAAAGCTTATAATAAGAAAAACACGAATACGCATAGTTTAGCTACTTAATAATCATACAATAAATATGTATAAATCGTATTGTTCCATAAATAGTTCACAAGCATTACCATCCATAATTCTCTTGTATATGTAACAACTATGACTTCATGAAGCATAACAATTACTTCGTATTGAGATAAGATGTTGGTTGGAGGTAGCCGACAGAAAACCCTAGACCTAGGTTTCGTGCTAATTGGCACCCGTCATCAAGGTGTACCTTTAATCTTGGCGGATTCGATCCATAGTCACCCAGCTTCACAGTCAGAGACGTCACCACTGAGCTATCCAGGCCGCGACTAATCTCCTGTAGCACTGAGATGTAATCACAATTGATTGATCACTGGGTGGTGATCAATGTCATGTTTGTCAATTCCTTATTTAGTGCAGATCGAATACTATCGACCATGTTGCAATGTGGTTACTAGTCTAGGTGACTGGACATTGCGGGCACTATAAGTTGAGATTAGATGGTGGTTGCGGGTGATCGAAAGTAATTCATCACTTCAAGAAAACTTCATTGATCATTTAGTCTACTTATTTTTACAATGTTAAATTTAATGACTATATTAATCAGTTGAAAAATAGTATTGTTTTATTTTGGATGGATAGAAATAGACAGTTATCTTTCTGCCAAAATTCCATCTTGTTCTTGGTTTCATTTGATTGGTAGATTGAGAAATAATTGATTTATTATTAAACATTTAACTTGTTCTGATTTTTTAATAAACTAGTCAATGTATTAATTAGATAAAAATGTACTATATTTATAATCATTTTATCTGTTGAATGGTTCGTTAGTTTATTGTTCACGTCAGTAATTAGCTATAAGAAAAATTTCAACACAAATGCTGAGAGACAATACCATTGATGATGGTTGGTAACATTGATGTCATATCATAGATTGATTGATGTTAGAAATATAAAATCATTTGGTATCGACTGAATAGCGTTATCCTTAAATCAAGACTTGAAGTTTCCCGAGTTGGCATTGATGACGAATTACAATCTAAGATTAGTTAACTACTCAGTACTTCTTGAAATGGACTGATCTTCGAAGCAAAACTAATTTCTATAAATCGTTTATAAGTGCTTAGATCTTCCGTTGATGGCGTTAAGGATTAAATATTGGTTATTCTGTTTCGGCATATATATATATATATATATATATATATATATATATATATATATATATATATATATATATATATGCTGAGTGGATTGACTTGAGATTGCCGTTAAGTAATTATCCATTTTTAACTAAGTTTGATACTGGCTGATAGGCGAATCCAGGAAGCGTATTCCGTTCTATTTGAGTCTCATTAGTTGAATGTATCTACATTCTAGTGTATATGTTCACTCAAAATCTTTCCCCTATTAGTTTTTTATTCAAATACCTAACACTAATTATTTGATGAACTTAATAACTAAGTGGATAAAGTATTCAATATTTAAAAATAAAATCACTTCATTCATATTCACTAATGAACATGAACTCCTAAATAGAATGTGAAATAAGTTAATTGAATTCCACTATTACTAATTAACATCTATCTCTATTCTAACATAACTTTATATTTAATAAATAAATTAATTAATAAAGAGAAACATTTACACTCAACAATAAATTTACAGTATCATGATCTATCTTGACTTTTAATTCAAAGATCTATTATAAACAGAATCGTTAATATCAGATGGGTTTTGTGGCATGATAGTAATTTCAATGGTTAATATCATGAGTCAGTTGAAGCTAAACAGTCATGGCCAACCTGGAAGCACTGGACGGCCGCTTGGGACTTCTCAGCAGTGCGCATCCACGACCCCGCCTTGTGAGATTCGAACCCAGGACCTACTAGTTCCCCGCACGAGCACTTAACCACTAGACCACTTAGACGGAATCCAACGGTGTTAATGTCTAACCTCAACTAATCCACAAAACTGAGCGACACATCCACCATTGTCTTCAGTGAGTTACTATCTCACAACAGACCTAGTTGAACTCCACTGGTCACTACTTCTCACTAGAACTCCAGGATATACTTCTTGAAGCCAGTCGCTAGTGAGCATATGTTGATTAATATCAGATGGGTTTTTTGGATATTATAGTAATTTCAATGGTTAAGATCATGAGTCAGTTGAAGTAGACGACCATGGACAACCTGGATGCACTAGACGGTCGTTTCGTCCTATTGTGGAACTCCTCGTTAATACATTCTTTCTTTTTTCCTTTTTCTTGTATTTATCTTTTTTTATTATATCATTAATCTTAATTTTGTAATCTATAAATTTTTTTATTGATTAATTCTTGAATACAAAATAAATTTCAAGAAAAAAAATTTTTTCGGCGTATTAGAGAAATAGTTTCCATAAAAACTTTTTTCATTTTACATAATTAATAAAGTACAAATTAAAATAGTGTAAGTATATTTATCACTTTGTGTGTATGTGTGCGGATGTATAGGTGCGTGTATCTGTACTGACGTATATATATATGTGATAGGGATTTTTAGAGTGAAGTTAAATATCACGAGTACGCATAATTAATATTACCAATGTCTTTTATTGAGTAGACAGATCATGTGAAAATCGATTAATCACTTTAGTTTCTTTTTCTTTTTTGTTATTTTTTTTTCTAGTATTTTATGTATGAATTATACGTGTAAAGTTAATTTAGTTAATCATTCATTCATAAAATATTATAACGTTTAACTTAGATATAATTTTTTTTCCTTTTTAAAAATGTCATAGACAATTTGTTATTAAATTCACCCCCATTGTACAAGCAAATGACTGACAACACGTAGTATCTAAGTGAATAACGTGAATGACATTTGAAGCGAACGGTATTGATTTCCAGTCTCAAAATGAACATTAACTCTGAGATACATGTACATCCAAATGATGAGTCCTAAATAGGACGAAACACTCATCCTGTATTCCACTGCTAGGCATTACTCATCTTTGCTAATTTGTTATTAAATTGTTCGACTCCAACAGTTGAAATAAATCAGTGATAGAATACTTTGATTATGATATTCAGTGATCCAGATCTAGATCTTGTAAATTGTATCAAATCTCTTAAGAGTACAGATGTATTATATTACTGAGAAATATAGACTAGCACAAAGTTTAAGTGAATGGTCCCTCTACTAAGAATATTTCTTATCATCTAACGGTCACATTACAACTCGATCATTGAACTTTAGACAGAATAATGAAGGATACATGTATGTGATTACTGTTCAGCAAACAAATAGTTTATAAATTAAGTTTAAACAACTATTCCTTCTACTGGTAGAATAGTTTCGTTGGTGCATGATAAAGAACCTCATCAAATTTTATTGAAATCGATAAATTGTTATTTGTGTATAAATTTCACAGAGATTTAACGTATTACTATTTCGAAATCTTCGTAACTTCAGATGATGTTAAATTCTAGATGATTTCAAACGTTTCTTCTATCAAATTAGTTCTAGATTCCTTAAGGAAGTAAACAAAATCCTAATTATATATTCCTTTGAAGAAATTCAAACAAGTTACTATGACTTTTGTTCGGTCGATTATCATATGATAAAATCGCCAATCAGAACACGACTTATACCATCTTAATAATGACATATTGACCGGTCTGAACAGCCTAGCATCCTTATTAATAATCCTTACCCTGCCAAGCCCAGGATATTGAGCCCAGAACACCAATAATAGCAGCTTCTACTGTATGAATCATATATTTCAAATAAGCTTGGTTTATATACTAGACAAACAGATCACATCATACCATAAAATAAAAATAATAATAACAATTATACAGGATCAAGCCAAAAATTGGCTGTGAGTGTGACTGTAGTTCATAAACTGGGTATAACTTGAGAATGGTAAATCGTAGAATAACAGTTTATAGGTCAAAACAAAGCTTATAATAAGAGGAATATATATATATATATATATATATATATATATATATATATATATATATATATATATATATATATATATATATATATATATATATATATATATATATAATCTAGTTATTCAATAGTTATACAACAAGTATATATTTATAATATTAGCCCATTAATAGCTTTCAGAAGTTACCCACTGTTTAATCTTCACTAGGATATAACACAAGTTAGATAGAAGTAACATTTGAATTTCAACCGTTAAGATCATCTTAAATATAGTTTTTAGATAAAGTCACTTCGATATACTTCATTTCGGATTTCTTTCAGATTGTTCGTTCATATTTTGATTAATGATCATATAGATATCAGCGTTGATTTATATAATCAGCAAAGTCGTCACACGTTAACTGTTAAGAATTCTGAAAATTAACCAGCTAAGTCATTCAGTTAACAAATATT